GTTATCTTTCCTGTTTGCCCCAGGAACTTCAATTCTTGCCCTTTCTAACGTTAATAGAACTTCACACAATAACCCTCTACCTTGAGTGGATCTCGGGTTTTTATTGGGTGAACATTATCTAAAAAATTATAAAAAACAACATGCAAGTATTTTTTGTTTGACAAGTGTATTGAGAAATAGTAATGGAAATTCTAGAAGATTCGCTATCGCTCAGTCTTCAGTGACAGCCTCCTGGCATCTCAAAATGCAACTATTGAATAATATGAAAAAAAAATGAGAGAATGTATTTGGGTGCAGATTGCAACAACTCAAAAGATCATAGTTAAGAGATGAGGAAAAAATGACCGCAGGCGGAGCCTCGTCCGGGTTCCTCTCTGCTCAGAGGCAGAGAGTTCGACCGTCAAGTCGAGAAGCTCGGCTCGATTCGCTATCTACCCCCACCGCCCACGAGGGTTGCATGTGGGACAAGGCCGAGTTTAACGTGGGTTTCCCGAGCCCGTAGGCTCGGCCAAAAAAATGCCCGTAGAACCCGTATAAACGGGATCGGGTTGATCAACCTCCCCGAACGAGACTCTGCCCTTTGGCAGAGCCTCATCCGGGTTCCTCTCTTCTCAGAGGCAGAGAGTTCGATTTTCAAGCCGAGAAGCTCGAATCGATTCGGTATCTAGCCCCCACCCAATGGTTGCATGTGGCACAAGGCCGAGTTTAACGTGGGTTTCCCGAGCCCGTAGGCTCGGCCAAAAATATGCTCGTAGAACCCGTATAAACGGGATCGGGTTGGTCAACTTCACCGAACGAGACTCTCCATATATTATTTAAAAGAATTAATTTTTCCTTATATTTCCCGATGTTTCACCATTGTCTTTTGTGTGTAGTAGTAATCCAAATTCTCTTGATTACTGCTACACACAAAAGATAGGTTAAAAAGAATGCAAACATTGATAATAGAAAATACAAAGCCAACACTCGATAACATCATCTATGAATACGGTCACACGCTTGATATCCATTGCTCCGCGTTGAATTGATCCTAATGGCCAGGAAGTTTGTTTCGCTAGATCAATTACGTTTGAACAGACTAGATGCTCCATACTTTCAGCCTTTTGTCACATCCAAGTTACCTTTAGAAAATTAGAATTACTCAATCTTAGAATTGCTCAATCTTTTAAAAAATATACGTTGTTTGTAATACTTGTCTATATCTCCATAAGTATTCAAGACGTACAAATGGACGAAATGCCTCTGGACTCGTCTGATAACGTCACAGAATGATTTTTTTATGTTATGCTAAGAGAGTTTGCTTTTGTTTTTGTTTTTTTTCAATGGAAAATAGAATATTATTTGTTTAGTTTAATATTCAGAAATTATAGGACGTAAACAAGAAAAGGCAGAGCAAAGTAAATATTTTTTTTTATATTTAAAAGGACAATGCAATTGCAGAATTACTGAAATACTTCCGTCATTTCTTGTTGACGGCATGCGTAAACTAATTATTCTTAATAATACAATTATTTGAACGCTTAAAAAATCAGGAGAAATCAAAGAATACTATCCAAATATTTGCAAACGAATGGAGAAGAAGAAGAAAAAAGAAGAATGCATGAGAATTTATAGTGAAAAAGCAAAAAGAACCATTGAATGATGTTTGCGATGTCGAAACCTTGCAGAATGGGGTTTAGGAGGGGAGAAGTACATTGCGTCGGCACCGGTTTTCCAAAAGGAATTGCCACAGAGACGGAAAACGAAGATTCTCAGTGTTGGTGGTAGGTGGTTGTGAGAGGGAGCGATGTCAAAATTGGTGCGAAATCCATAGACTGTATTGATTTCCAGAACCAGTCAGCCAGCAACTGCGACTATGACTCATTTTCAGGGTTCCTTTTCGGCAAACACTACCAGAGTTTGACGCTTGCCTTTGATGGCTACTTCATTTGTTTTATGGTGCTCTCAACGAGAGAACAAATGGTAAACGCTTCTACTTGGTCAAATAATACCGAACAAAAAATATCATTAGGAAATAATCATTGATATATATATATATATATATATATATATATATATATATATATATATATATATATAAGGAAAGGTTATAGCTGTTCCGAGAGCAACGTGTATATTATAAAAAAGAGAGAAGCCAGAAACGTTTTTGGTTATAATGTGGATTTTTTCAAATATATATTATACTTTAGTTTCCATAATTTTGCTACGCGGGTTTCAGGTCTTGCGACCTTCATCAGGTAAAGTGTGGTTATTTCCATATATTATTTAAAAGAATTATTTTTTCCTTATATTTCCCGATGTTTAACCATTGTCTTTTGTGTTTAGTAGTAATCCAAATTCTCTTGATTGCTGCTGCACACAAAAGATAGGTTAAAAATGATGCAAACATTGATAATAGAAAATACAAAGCGAACACTCGATAAAATCATCTATGAACACAGCCACAACGTGCTGGCCGTGTTTGGGAAATAAATAAAAACATATATTCCATAACTCTAGATGTATAGATGAAAATCTACACATTTAGTTAAAAAAAAATCCTCGATGATGGCTTATCGGAGTTAGCTCCTCCTCAGCTCTATAACCCTTCACCAGAGGTTTCTATCTCCTGGTTATAAATACTCGCTGACCCTTCGCCTCGACCTCTTTTTTTCCTCAGGCTTCGGCCTTATACCACCTCGCAGATGTGAGCTCTCACAGATACAGCGTTTTCCAAATGCTGGGAACACCCTAAGAACAATACACGTACGTAATCTTGCCCCCCCCCCACACACACGAGGTTTGCATCTGGCACAAGGCCGAGTTTAACGTGGATTTCCCGAGCCCATAGCCTCGGCCAAAAAATGCCTGTAGAACCCGTATAAACGGGATCGGGTTGGTCAACCTCCCCGAACGAAACTCTGCCCTTCGGCGGAGCCTCGTCCGGGTTCCTCTGCTCAAGGCAGAGAGTTCGACAGTTGAACAAGAGAAGGCACTGTTTCGTAGCGCTCAATCTATTCACTGACCACTGTACCTTCTATTAAACTTATAGTAGGCGGGAGAGTCTAACATAGACTCTTAGAGGGAGGACACCACAACAGTCATCCATAATAAATTTGCATCCTGGTTCTTACAACATTTCACCATCATCACAGTGCGAGATATCTAATAAAAAAATAATAGAAGCAAAAAGAAAAAAAAAGTAAAATATTCGGAAAGAAATCGACTAGATTAAAAAAATATTAAATTTTAAAAAAAATGAAATTCCCCGCATCCATCATTCGTGCGCATATGTAGTAGTCAGACCAACATAACAAATTTAGTCCTCTGAAGTCCTAAAGGGCGAAACGCCTTGTGATTAACAATTA